TACCCTAACTGACTTTTTGTTTTCTGTTTATTTGTCTCATTTCAAATTTGAAATAATGGGCAGAGAGATGGCTCAGCACCGTTAAGGCTGTTCCAGACGGCTGGGGTTCAATCGAAGCACCCACATGACAGATCGCAATTATCTGTAACTCTGGCTCCAGGGGATCCCAACACCCTCAAACAGACATACATGCAGGCAAAACATCAATGCACATCAAATAAAAATAAATTTTAAAAATTATATGAGAGCTGGGCGGTGGTGGTGCATGCCTTTAATCCCAGCACTTGGGAGGCAGAGCCAGGTGGATCTCTGTGAGTTCGAGGCCAGCCTGGTCTACAGAGTGAAATCCAGGACAGGCACCAAAACTATACAGAGAAAACCTGTCTCAAAAAACCAAAAACAAAAACAAAAAAAATTGAAATGGTTGGGTGGTGATGGAGTGTGCCTTTAATCCCAGCACTCAGGAGGCGGATCTCTTGAATTCAAGACCAGCCTGGTCTACAGAGTAAGTTCCAGGGCAGCCAGGGCTACACAGAGGAACCCTGTCTTGAAAAACAAAACAAGAAAAGATTGTAACATTTTACTGTGGGTTGTAGCATATACCCACGATTCCAGTACCCAGCAGGCAGATAGAGGAGAATATTCACAAATTTATCCTGGTCAACATAGGAAGTATCAGGCCAGCCAAGAGTCCATAGTGAGACTTTGTCTCAAAAAAGAAAAACAAAAACATAGAGCATTTCTGGGGCAGATACTTTTATTCTACTGGCTTTGTGGTACTTACCCAACACTTGGGAGGAGCAGAGGCAGGAGGATTTCTGAGAGTTGGAGGCCAGCCTTGTCTATATGAGATCAAGCCAGCCAGGGCTACACTGTAAGACCCTGCCTCAAACAGACAAAAATAAAATAAATAAAAGAGCACAAAAGCCAGACATGGTGCTGCATACGTATAATACCGGCATTTGGGAGGTGAGGAGGTCTGGGCAGGAGGATCAGGAAGAGCAGCAGTTAGTTCATCCTCGGCTGTGTGAGTGTCAGGTCAGCCTGAGCTACCTGACTAGCTCAGGAAACCCAAATAAACCTCCCTCTTTAGTCTGGCTTTCTGACACAGAGCAAGAATTGCTCTCGATGCCCCAGAACTGACAGCTGCTCTTTCCCCCAAACTGTTGGGAAACCCATCTCGTGGGGCTTCACTGAAAGCCCTTATCTCTTAAGTTTAGTCATGTTCTCTTTGGCTCTTGTCCTTGCCCTCAAGAGCCCCAAAGCATTTCAGGAGGACGACCCCATGGGGTACAAAGGGTTATCTTTTTTTTTTTTTTGGTTTTTTGAGACAGGGTTTCTCTGTGTAGCTTTGCGCCTTTCCTGGAACTCGCTTTGGAGACCAGGCTGGCCTCGAACTCACAGAGATCCGCCTGACTCTGCCTCCCGAGTGCTGGGATTAAAGGCGTGCGCCACCACCGCCCGGCGACAAAGGGTTATCTTAATAATTGTCTTTTTGAAGTATTTGTAGTTGATGGCCACTTTAGGGAGTTTTATTAGCCCAGCTGACTATTTATATGTACCTCTTAGGTCTATTTAAAAATGACAGTCGGCCAGACAGCGGTGGTGCATGCCTTTAACCTCAGCACTTGGGAGGCAGAGCCAGGCAGATCTCTGTGAGTTCGAGGCCAGCCTGGGCTACAGAGCGAGATCCAGGACAGGCACCAAAATGACACAGAGAAATCCTGTCTTGAAAAACCAAAAAAAAAGACAATTATTGCTGGGCAGTGGTGGTGCACACCTTTAATCCCAGCACTTGGGAGGCAGAGTCGGGCAGATCTCTGTGAGTATGAGGCCAGCCTGGTGAGTTCTGAGACCACCAAAGCTGTTACATAGAAGAACAAAACAAACAAAAAACTTACAATCATTTCGTTGATGGTTGCCTTTCACTCCTGATTGATGAAGTTTGTGTTTAAGAGTAAGATACAGGGCTGGAGAGATGGCTCAGAGGTTAAGAGCACTGACTGCTCTTCCAGAGGCCCTGAGTTCAATTCCCAGCAACCACATGCTGGCTCACAGCCATCTACAATAAGATCTGGTGCCCTCTTCTGGTGTGCAGACATACATACAAACAGAACACTGTATACATACTAAATAAATAAATCTTTAAAAAAAAAAAAAAAAAGTAAGATACAGGGGGCTGGAGAGATGGCTCAATGGTTGAGAGCACTGGCTGCTCTTCCAGAGGACCCAGGTTCAATTCCGAGCACCCACATGGAAGCCTGTAACTGTATGCAACTCCAATTCCAGGAGACTTAACAGCCATGACAAACACCAATGTCCATAAAGTAAAACTAGATAATTTAAAAAAAAAGAGTAAGGTAGTTTTTCTTGAGTCTCCTTTGTAGAGTGAAATCAGGAGAATGAAAATATATATATAGTTTTTGTTTTTGTTGTTTTGTTTTTAGAGACAAGGCTTTTCGGTGTAGCTCTGGCTGTCCTGAACTCACTCTGGAGACCAGGCTGACCTCAAACTCAAATCTGCCTGCCACTGGCCTCCTGAATGCTGGAATTAAAGCCGAGCTCCACCACCTCAGGAATCTGTATCTTAAAGAGGGCTCTGATGCCAGGCAGTGGTGGCACATGTCCTTAATCCCAGCACTTGGGAGGCTGAGCCAGGAGGATCTCTGTGAGTTCAAGGCTAGCCTAGTGTACATAGTGAGATCCAGGACAGGCACCAAAAACTACACGAAGAAACCCTGTCTCGAAGAGGGGGGGGGGGGGGGGGGGAGGGCTCTAAAGCCAGACATCGTAGCACACACCTTTCATCTCAGCATTTGGGTGGGAGAGGCAGGCAGCTCTCTGTGAATTTGAGGCCAGCCAGGTCTCCAGAGTGAGGAGATCCTGTCTCAGAACAAAAAACCCCATAGGAGGAAGGAAAGAAAGAGAAAAGATGTTGGCTCTGTTTTGATGCATGGTGTACACACAGTTCTGTCCTCCAGTGATGCCTGGCCCTATAGGAACTCCCCATTTCTCCTTAAAAGAGAAAAGGCCTGATGACAGATGGATGATCTAACACCTAGGAAAAGCTAAGTAAAATATTGCCAGATACCCTCCCACTTTTTACTGAGGTATAAAATCATTTGGTAACATACAGAACTTAAATATGCAGTTCAGTGAATTTACAGATATGGACACTTGTATGATGCAAGTCAACGGTTCACACATTTCCAGCACTTTAGAATGCTCTCTTGTATCAGTTGTCTAGGGCCTTGTGTATGCTGTGTGCATGCCATATCATGGAGGTGCACCCTAGCCGAAGATTACTTTTACTAACAAGTGAAACTTTACTTGAGTGTCTTGGGTCCTTGAAGACCATATGAAAACCTGTGGTCGTCCGTCAGCCACCTTGGATGTCTGACTTGGAGCCAGATGGTTGCTTGCCGTTGGAGCTGCTCTCTTTTTTCACCCTTTGTATCTTATCCTTAATTTCTGTTACTCCCCTCCGGCCTGTTCTGTTTTTCTGTTGTTCAAACAAACACATAAGGCCTTTGTGGTTTTCATATTTTTTCGTGGGAAATTACAGACCAACCAGTAAGCAAGAGTGTTCCCTGTTAGTATGATCAGACTGGTTCTCTAGGAGTCCCTGGGCCTTCACATGAGTTGGCTTTGCACAGGAACTCCAAGAGATGTTCTTACCATGAAGCCTCCCTCATACAGCAGAGCTTCAAGGTTCCTGATCTAATAGCACAGTGAGCTTCAGCGTCACGTAACTCTGAGTTCAAATCATTGGCTGTGTGAATATCATGATTGTTCTAATCCTCCATTTTGTCTGTAAAATAAAAAATGTTCTTATCCTGGAGGTTTATTATGAGAATTAGAAATTAATGTCTCTAAAATACCCTATTGTACCATAAAATAGACTCCAAAGACAGGAACAGTGGGAAGCTCAAGGGACTCGCAAACAGTGGTCCCCATCTGGCTTCTTAGTCGGGGTCTTTCTGTTGTGTTTTATTTATTTATTTATTTATTTTTTGTTGCTACATTTTCTCTTTTGAGACAGGACGTGTGTAGTCCGGCACACGTGCCTCACATTTCCCATGTAGCTGAGGATAGCTTTAAACTCATCGTCTTCCTCCTCCTGTGTCCCAAGTGCTGGGATTACAGCATGCACCACCATGCTGTTTGTTTAGTGTTTTGCCTCAGTGAATTTATTTATCAAACTGACCTTGTCTTAAGTTCATGGCAAAGTGGAGATATATCTTGTTAAAACTTTATATTTGATTTTAGAACTAGAAGGGGTGATAGTTAGCTGGTTATAGCTACAGTCGGTAGTGGATTTTGTTTCCTTTGTCCCCGATTGGGTAATGAATGCATGCTGTTTTAAGGAGCAGCAAGTCAGCCAGTAGGTTTGAGAGTTGACATTTGCTGGGAACTGAGAGGATTTGGCATTTTGGCCTGTACCTTCTCTACACTTGGCCTGGGCTCGAAAACAGTAAGAACACTTCATTTTCTGGGTCCAAATGCAGTGTGCTTGCTGTGGTTGCCTTCTGCTGTGTAAGCAGTGGCCGCCACAGTGTGTATGAGAGAGTTGTGCTAAGGTAGGGGTTGGGCCATGCTACCATCTGTGCATGCTACCCCCAAGAAGAACTGGGTGTTAGTCCCTAAGCCAGAGCTTGTCGGGTGGGGTGGGGAGTTGTTGAGAATAGTAGACCAGAGAAAAGGAAGATTAGCTCGCTCACTAGACATGCTGAGTTCACAGGAAGTGTCATTTTCTAGGATCATTTTACTTTGTGTATTCTCAGTGTCTTTCTCCACTGCTAACAACACTCTTTCCTTTTGCCTGCATTAACCACGAGTAACCAGTCTGGTGGCTGGGGCTGGGGAGGTAGTGAGTAGCCATTTCTATAATATCAGCCCTAGAGCAATCACATGGGCAGGGTATGCCTAACAGAGAATGGAGATTTTCAGCTTGCATTCTTGACTGGAAATAAAGTGCTCTCCTTATTCTCGTCCTGCAGGTCGGTGAGCTGGTAAAGGTTACGAAGATTAATGTGAGTGGTCAGTGGGAAGGGGAGTGTAATGGCAAACGAGGTCACTTCCCATTCACACATGTCCGTCTGCTGGATCAACAGAATCCTGATGAGGACTTCAGCTGAGTATAGCTCAACAGTTGGCTGACAGATGGGAACAATCTGGTTTTTCCCCCAATTGCCATCTATACAATTTTCTTACAGGTGTCAAAAGCAGTCTAGTTTATATAAGCATTCTGTTACCTGTGATCTTTTTTAAGACTGAATTACTCCATTCTTACTCGTATTTACCATATTCAGGGTACGAAACTGGAGGGCTTGTGTGGTTAACTTCTGAATTGGCAATTTTTGGTGATAGTGGCCATGCCTGTATGAGAAGAGGTAAATACCTTGCCTCCTTTCTCTTTGGCAGTATAGATCAACCTGTGGAAAACTGATGGTCAGGAAAAGAATGTTACACACTGCTTACCCTGATTTCTTCAGTGGTTCTGTTTTCATTCTGAAACCATACTATCAAAAGGCAGCAGACTGTTCCCTCCCACTCCCATGAAGTAATCATGCACTGTGTGAATATTACCCAGTGGGATTGCATTTGCATTTATGGACCATGACCATTGTATGACTCATTCTGACATTTCAAATCCTGAGGATTCTGAGAACACTACTAGAGGCATTTGTCTTCCTTCCCAGTCAATGCTTCATACTTTTTCTTGGATTCTTTCCTTGTTACTCTCTTCCCCTGTACCTGTAAGTGGCCTGATTCTTAGGATAGTGAATATCTTCATTCCAGATGAGAAGCAGGATGTGCAGAGCACTTTATTCAGTGCATAGCTTTAAGCCAGTATTGGATTCACTCAGTGGAGAAACTCCCAGCTTTCTGCCTTCCCCCAAGGGGGCATCATAGGTTCACACTGCTACCACAGCTAAGAGACTCCTTGCTGATGGAACGGATCCGGCAGGGCCATTTCTCCTGATTACTAGTATCCTAATGGGATACTTAAGAGTTCTCAGATTCTACTTGGAGTGGAAGGACCAATCCCATATTGTATCCTGTAGAAGGTATCAGGGGCCAAACTCTGCCCTCTGCATCATGTGCAAGTTGTATAAAAGGCAGATTAGAATTCTATGCATTGGGGTAGGATTAGTACTTTGAAAACTGTGCCAGTCATAAATTCCTTATGTATCATTTTACATGGTCAAAATAGTTCTTGAAGTACATTATATTATAAATTGCCTTCATTTGGGTTTTCCTCTTGTCCAGATTTAGTTTATAAGCCCTTTAAAGTATAGAATGATTTATGTGGGGTCAGATGCTCCAGAGAATAGGCCTGTGAGGCCACAAATGATTTAGGGTTTCTTTAGACTGTAACATGAGACTTTTGGGTGATAAAGACACTTGCTGGTCTCTGGTGTGGTATGACCAATAGAAACACCTTATACTTTGCTTTGAACCTCATTTTAGAAAAATAATGTACCTTCTTAGTTGTCCTGTATAGATTAATATGATGAACTTGCATTCTTTGAACATACACCAAATCATGGTATTTCAGTGACTAGCACATTGCTTAGCACATGTGTGTAGAAATTTTGTATGAAAGAGTGAGCAGAGTGCAGAAGCTTGTTACATGACCAGGGACACCAGTTGGCATAGGATTGCATACATTACCACAGGCAAACTAATGACGCTAATTTAATACATTTTTACCTCACTCTAAAGTAAAAACTTGATAAAGACATTAAAACTCAACTTTGGAGATGTTGGCACAGTGCTAAGTACATAGTAGGTGCTCGATGATGTTGAGTGGACAGATTTGCAGTATGTGGTATATTCCACCTGACTACTTGGTTCAGTTTTCAGTTAGTATAGATACTGTAAATCCCAGTGCACATTAAATCTTGTTTTCCTAAGCCAGGCATAGTGGCACACGCCTTTAGTCCTAGCACTCAAAGGCAGATGGGTCTTTGAGTTAGAAGCCAGCCTGGTCTACAGAGCTACTTCTAGGACAGTCAGAGTTCCAAAGTGAGACCTTGTCTCAAAAACCAAATAAATTAAATAAAAAAAAAAAAAATCTGTCCCTGAAATTATGGCATCTTAATTCCTTGTAGAAAATCCTTGTCACAGTTGATTTGAATGTTTGTATTTTCTTTGCCTTTGCCTTTGATGCTGGCTTGTACTGTCTTCATTGTGTGTGGTGTTGATGGGATCAGAAGAACTCCTCAGTGACTAGTTGTTCAGAGCCATTACACGAACTGTTGGTTGAATTTGGCTGGGTGTAGCAGTTATTGGACCTCAAGAGATCAAAGGACTTCTTACAAATATCTTCCAAAAATAGCAAGTGCTAGAATCCTAGTCAAGTGCATATGTACATTGTCACAGAGCAAAATAAACTGAAATTGGCTGCTATGTTTTATATAATCACTTCTGCAAGAGCCCATTTTTGGATACTAATATTTGACATGGTTAATTCTTATTAATTTGTTGGAATTGTTTATTAATAATGCAAATAGATAATTTTAATTTTCCACAAGTAACATTTCACTATTAATGGTTTGAAATGGGTGATAAGCAAACCAATTTGAAATAAAATATGAACATGTGCCATTGTATTATAACACTATACACTTTCTTGACAGTTAAATTTTAAAAAATGGTTTTTTTTTTGTAGCATGTATTGTATATGTTTATAGTATATGTAGTAAATAAAAGTATGGCCAAATGTTTGGCTTGGTGATCTTTTGGAGAAAATAATCTTGGAATATTTGTCACAAAAGAGTGAAACCTTTATGTTTTAAGGAATAGAAAATGTGTGTCTCAACTGCCCGTCAATAGTCATATAAACTTAAATACATGGTGGATGCTTAAAGATGGGGTTAATCCTTGGGTATGCTGTGTGGGATCTCTAGAAAGGATGATATGGCTGTGAGGGGAACATGAAGAAAATCGTCTATGAAATCTAAAGGAAGCAGGTTGTGAACAGAGCACCAGACTCGTCTGGAAAAGGGTATTTGTGAGTGTAAGACAACGACGACGACGACGATGTGATGGGGAGCTTGAAGGCTTCAGAATGTTAGTGTAGGTGCTCCATTAATGTAAGTAGCAAATGCACAGGGAAGGTTCTGACGGTAACAACAATGGCAAAAGTAGATTACATGCCACCCTTCCCCAAAGTATGTATACACCCCAAATTGACATCATTCTCTCTAGTATTGGGAACTATAGATTCATGGTGCCGTGCCATGTCCCCATCATTCCAGCACTTCCCAGGCTGTGGAATTATTTAAATCCAGGAGTTGGAGGTCAGCCTGGATGACCTAGCAAGACCCCTGTCTACTAAATACCCAAGGGACAAATTTTACCTATTGCCTATATGACACTCTGCCTTAGACTCGAAACACAACCTCATAGTTGCTGCTGTGGACTTAGGAGTATGTCAGTGTAGAGCTAAAGCAGGTTCCTCTGGGGGGATCCAACTTTGGCATATGCAAGTTTAACAGCACAGTTAGATAAAGTGTATTTCAACTTGGGACAAAATAAACTGTCCAACTTTTGGTTTACTGTGTTGAACATTGGGTTCCTTTACATAGTCTCTTAGAGTGTTCATACGGCCCATGTTTAGTAACTCAAGAAACTTCAGATGAAGTTTTCTCATAAATGTGGAGAGGGGTTGCCTGAGTAAAAATGTGGGAAGAGGCCCAGATGTAGGAGCAGGAGCTAAAGGAGCTCTGTCCCCACTTGGCTGTAAAGACAGTGAGCTTCCTCTAGTCTTCTTCAACTTTCCCCATGGACCAGACCCCCCCTCCCTCACCACCACCACCACACACACTCACACACCTTTACTTTTGGTTCTAGCTTAAATGTAGCATCCTTAGAGATGTTATGTTTACCTTCATGGTGCTCCTTTCAAATGACACCTTATGGTTTTTGAGGCAGAGTTTCTTTGTATATCTTTGGCTGTCTGGGCACTCACTTTGTAGACCAGACTGGCCTTGAACTCACAGAGATCCTCCTGCTTCTGCCTCTGCCTCCTGGCATTAAGGACTTGTGCCACCGCCATCCAGGCAATAGTTACATACTATTGTGATTGTTTAGCTCAACTATAACTCCAGCAAGGCAAGAGTAATTAATGTCTCTGTTTCTTCAGGTTTCAGCCTCGCCCAAAGCTTGGCTCCCTCCCAGGAGTCAACTGTTGCTGAGGCCTGACATTGGGCCTCAGGGGAAGAGTGGATGCCCAACATGAATGAGGCTTTGGCTTCAGCCCCCAGCACCACAAAACCATACAAGTGTTGAATGTTTTCTTCAGTGGGGTGTGCTGGACAGAAGGTCACCTCAGCTGCTTCCCTAGCATCCCTGGTCTTACAGAAGTTCAAAAACTAGCTTCAGTCACATCTACTTAATGATCCTTTGCAGAAATACAAAATGTTCTCTGTGGTTTGTTCTTAAAAGGGTGGGTACTTCCCAGCCTTTGTGTGTGTGTGTGTGTGTGTGTGTGTGTGTGTTTCCACAGAAGGGAAGGTAATCCTGTCACTTGCTAACTATTAAACACATAATGATTCATTACTGGTTTATATATTTTTTAAAGTTTTTTTTAAATTATTATTATTATGTATAGTGTTCTGTCTGCATATGCCTGCAAGCCAGAAGAGGGCCCCAGATCTCATTACGGATGGTTGTAGGCTGCCATGTGGTTGCTGGGAATTGAACTCAGGCTGTGAACCATCTCTCCAGCCCCACTGGTTTGCATCTTTGAATTTGTAGCATTAGCCACACTCAAAAAGGCCGACTCCCATTTGTCAGAGCATCAAGGTTATGTTCAACATGCTCCGTTCTCTAATACTATATGGAAATTGCTTAATAGATTCAAACTATTCAGGGCTGGAGAGGTGCCACCGTCGTTAACTTCACTTGCAGCTCTTGCAGGGGACTTAGGTTCGGTTCTGGGTTCCTCATGCAACAGACACACCTGTGATGCACATGCAGACATACATGAGATATCTCTTCTATTATCATTTAGGTCTTTTGGTATTTGTTGGTATTATAGATCCTAAAGAAAATAACAGGGTAGGACCCTAGTGAATCCCATCTATGTGTGATAGCCATGGGCATGACCATATCCTAATGCCAAGGTGAGTTGGTAGAATTGACCTGAGCCAGGGGCCCAAATATTTTCAAGAGTCATGTGCTAAAACAAAAAGAATATAATGAGGAAGTGACTTAAATTACTTGTGCATATCTTTTCTTCCACTAGAATTAAAGTATACCCTCCACTACCTTTTCCCCTTTGAACACAGTCTCACTCTAGTCCAGGTTGAAATTCTAAGGAATTCAGAAGCCACATGACAGCAGAAAGCAGGTGCTTCCCCCACCCCGCACTCCTCAACAGGGTTTTCCTGTAGCCTTACAGAGATCCGTCTCCCAGGTGCTGAGATTAAAGGCGTGCACCACCATTGCCTGGCCTCGGGTACTGCTTTTTAAAAATAATTTTTAAGAAAGCTTGACTATTATATGTTCTCTTTTGTTTGTTAACATATTCCCTCAGCTAAATCTCTCCAAGCAGTGGGACTCAAGTATTCAAATACCAGAGCCTATGGGGGACATTTTTCACTGACACCACCACGATTTCCTTTCTCAGAGCCTCTTTTCCCTCCTCGGACCCCTTTCTAGTTTTCTAATCTCTCCCTACACTTGCTCCCACATAAATGCATATACTTGCAAAGTAAAAGCTGGGTGGTGGTGGTGGTGGTGGTAGCTGCTGTGGCGTGCTTACTCTGGAGGCAGAGGCAGACTGATCTCGGAGTTCCAGGACAGCCTGGTCTACACAGAGAAACCCTGTCTTGAACCCTGCCCCCCCCCACACAAAAAAGTAGCCCCCTGGGATCTGCGTGAGAAGAACATGGGCTGCTTGTCTTCCTCAGTTTGCTCACCTCAGTAATTCCCAGGTTTATGCATGTTCCTGTAAACTTTCTATTTTAAAATGTGCCTGTGTGTCTGTGTGAGTGAGTGCCATGTGTGTGTAGGTGCCTACAGAGTCCACAGGAGGGTGTTGAATCCCTTGGAACTAGTTACAGGTAGTTGTGATCTGCCTGACATAGATGCTAGGAACTGAACTCAGGTCCTCTGCAAGAGCAGCACATTTTCTTAGCCACTGAGCCATTGCTCCAGCCCAAATTCCGTTGTGTATTTGTACCACATTTTCATATCCATTTATCTATTCATGGACACCTACGTTGATTCCTAGGTTGCTTCAAGAAGGCCAGCCTGGCGGTGGTAGCACATACATACCTTTAATCCCAACACTCAGGAAGCAGAGTCAGTCAGATCTCTGAGTTTGAAGTCAGCCTGATCTACAGAGTTCCAGCGTAGCCAGGGTTACACAGAGAAATGCTGTCTCAAAACCAAATGAAAAAAAATCAAGAGTGGCATTAGGCAGACATGCACGTATCTATGCTAAGATTCAGAATTCTTAGGGCATATGGCAAAGACTGAGTAGGGTAGTTGTCAGTTTTTAGATTTTTAATTTTTTTTTTTCGAGACAGGGTTTCTCTGTGTAGCTTTGCACCTTTCCTAGAACTCACTTGGTAGCCCAGGCTGGCCTCGAACTCACAAAGATCCGCCTGGCTCTGCCTCCTAAGTGCTGGGATTAAAGGCGTGCGCCACCACCGCCCGGCTAGATTTTTAATTTTTTACAAGCAGTATTATTTGGAGTTTCACTTAATGCACCCCAATCACATCTACTTCACAGTGCTCACAGATCCACCCCACCCCCCTTTTAAGCCATGGGTTCACTGCATAGCCCTAGGTGTCCTGGAATTTACTATATAGACCAGACTGACCTCAAGCTCAGAGATCTGCTTGACTCTGCCTCCTAAGATCTGGGATCAAAGGCGTGCACCACCATGCCTGACCAGATGTAGTCTTTAAACTTTTGTTTCATTTTGTGTGTATGTGTGTGCATATGTGTTCATGCATGCCATGACATGTATATGGGAGTCAAAGGACAGCTTTAGGAGTCGAGTTCTCTCCTGCCATGTGTGTCCTGGGGCTCAAATTCAGGTTGTCAGGCTTGGCAGCAGGCACCCGATTAGCCATCTGGACGTCTCAGTAGTTGTAGGTTTAGGAGTTTTATTGGAGGCTCACATACTTACGTAGCCTAAGTTTGCCTTTTCAAGTCGTCGTCGTAACCTTCCTGCCTCAACCACCTGCATACTAAGATCATGTGCATGACCACCATGTCTAGGAAACAAAGGCCTCTGAAATATTAGAAATGACCTAAAGTTAGCTTGTAACTGTGGTTATACCAGTTTGTATACTAAAATACCTTTGAATTGTATGTAAAGTGAGTGGTGTGATGTAAACATCACTGAGGTAAGCATCACCTCAGCGATCCAGCTTTGTGATACTGAGTGTGCATAGCATGTGCGAGGCCCTGGGTTCAGTCCCCAGTACTGCAAAATAAGAAACCTGTGAGCCTATCGTAAAATACTGTTGGTTGGGCAGTGGATATACTTGAGATGGTAGAGTGCTTGCCCAGCACATAGAGGTCTTGGATGAGATCCTTATCACTCAGAAGCTGGGTATGATGATGTGAGTTTGTAATCCCAGCATTTGGGTTTCTTGTTTGATTGGCTGGTTTGATTAGTTTATTGTTGGGTTTGGGTGGGTGGTGTTTTTGTTTCTTTTTGTTGTAGTGAGACACTGTATAGTCCTATATATACTAGCAGGCTAGCCTCAAAC